ACACACACACACACACACACACACACACACACACACAGTAGTGCCAAAAGAGAGAGAGAGACAGAGAGTAGTACTCGGGGTGGGGTTGGGGGGAGTGAGAGTATGAGACAGAGAGCTTGGAACCCCAAACATCCAAGCATGCAGTCATGACACAGCATAAACCAGGTGTTTCCATTCAGCCCACCACAATCCCACAAAGGAGGATAACTGTAATAAAATAGAGATTTCTTAAGAAAGCTTGCAATTCACAGAGAACAGCCAGGTCACCAACCCAAACCCAGGAACCCCTTCGCTGTTGGCTGGGAGCCTCCTTATGGTCTCTCACGGAGAGGTGATAGCTCCTGACTTCTCAGACTTCTTGCTCTTGGACAAGGCAGCTGCCTGCTTCAGGAGCTCTCGGTTTTTGGCCTAAACAAAAAAATCAGTGCAAGGATATTTTAACAGGACAGGACATGTTTTTCATGCAGATGCTAAGGCAGACAACGTAAAGGGTCAGCAAGAGAACAAATTCTAGAGGCAGAAATCAACAGAAAGCTCTACGGCTTGGTTCAGGGGAAGGAAGTATTTGCTAGAGGTTAATCAGCACACTTCAATCTCCTGGGATCCACTGTTACAAAAGGGTGCTTTGTGCAACAGAAACAAACCGTGGAGTGCCTTAACGTGTTGGATAAACAGAATTTATAATCCAGACATCTGGAATCACATCTGGCTTATCCAAAACTCAAAACGCACATTTATTAATTCCAGTTTTTGAGGGAAAGAGATCAGAACACACCCAACAACGAAATAGTAAAAGACAGCTAATAAGGTAGATTAAATATGATTTTGTCAATATTTTGAAAACAAAAAAAAAAAATCTAAGAGATAAATCACTTAAAATACAATCAGCTAAATACACCAGGGTTATCACATAAAACAAGCAGACTCGGCGCACCCGGGTGGCTCAGTTGGTTAAGTGTCCGACTTTGGCTCAAGTCATGATCTCGTAGTTCATGAGTTCGAGCCCCATGTCAGGCTCTGTGCTGACAGCTTGGAGCCTGGAGCCTGCTTCAGATTCTGTGTCTCTCTCTCCCTCTCTGCCCCTCCCCTGCTCATCTTCTATTTCTCTCTCTCTCTCAAAAATAAATAAACATTAAAACAAACAAACAGGCAGACTCACCTGTAATTGCTCTGTGACTTCTTTGTGGGTCTTCTCCATCTGGTTCATTTTGGCTCTCATCTGAGATTCTTGGTATTGAAAATCAGCCTTCAACTCTGTGATCTGAGAGGGGGGAAAAGGCAGACTGACTGAAGAAATCTCTGTGCAGTACAATGATGAATGTTCTGGCAGCAGAGAGCTAAATGGTTCCTCAAATTAATGAAATCCAGGGCTCTTCGGAAGATCCCTAACTAAGCCAAAGCCAGGGAATTCTGTATCCTATTTATCCTAAAGATTTCTTAAAAATTACACAAAATCCTGACATAGCCATTTCTGATACCTCATCACTGACAGGTTTTAAAGATTTTATGTATTTAATACCTGCCAATAATCCTCCAAATAAATCAGTGATTACAATACAACACAATATGACTGACTGTGAGAAGCCAGGAGAATAACAGCTATTGCCATTTACTAATTTTTTAACCCTGTTCTAGGTAAACTGTTTGATATTTATACACACACACACACACACACACACACACACACACACACACAATTTTTTTTTTTTTTGAGTAATCTCTACACCTAAGATGGGGCTTGAACTCACGACCCCAAGATCAAGAGGTCGAAATTAGATGGACAGAATGCATGCAAATATTTTAACAATATAAATGCCTTTGTTAGCCACTCAGAATGAATCCTAGCACTCCAAACTTGGCACAAGAAAACATACAGCCTCAGAGAAAAAAAGAAAACCAAGAGAAGGATTGGAACTCTAAGAGAAAAAATATTGGAGGATACTTTTCATCTACAAAATGATGACAATAGTAATTCTTATCTCAAAGGTCTGTTATGAGGATAAATGGATTAATACATAGAAGGCACTTAGAACAGAGTCAGGCACATACTTAAGTATCCAATAAAAGTTTAGCTATTATTGTTACTAATATATTAAGACAAAAAGAAGATACTCTTTGGGAACCTAAAAGTAAGAGGGGCACCTGGGTGGCTCAGCTGGGCGTCCAACTCTTAATTTGGGCTCAGGCAATGATCCCAGGGTCTTGGGATCGAGTCCCATGCTGGGCTCCACATTGAGCATGGAGCCTGCTTGGGATTCTCTCTCCCTCTGCCTCTCCCTCTCTCTCTCTACCCCTCTGCCACTCTCCCCCACTCTCTGTCTCTCTAAAATAAAAAAGAAAAGAAAAATAACCTAAAAATAAGAGAAATAGACCTGAATCTCAAGAAGGATGTAAAAAGTTCCCTTAAAGAAGGAGGATGACTGTTAGACCAGGGTAAGACTTAACTGAAGATGTTAATGTGTTTAAAGAATGGGTCACTCAGGGAGTTGTCAGTAATGGAAGCAAAGTGATGTAAGAGTCATGGAGGAAGGCCTACCTGACCATTGTCCAGGAAGGAGGGAGACCTGGCCCACATATTTTAAGTATTACTGTCTCACGGGCATGGCCATCCCAATACCAGAGACGGAGGTATCAGGTTCTCAGCCTGAGAGCATTAAAAATTCCAATTACATAACCATCTCCTCTTGTCCCAACTCCATGTTCATTCAGCACCTTCTGATTACAACTTTCCAAGGCAGTTCATGCTGAGAAATGTAGCAGTCAGTTATGCCCCCCTGTGAATTAAGGGGGGCACTGTAGTTTTACACATCACCTCTGTAAGCCTGGTAAACATGAGTGAAACTTCCTCCAAATGTTGAGAAAAGTCAACTTTCTAAATGCACCTGACCAAGGCAGAGTGAGGGTTCTCTCTCACGGTAACAGCAGATCACGAGTCACCTTGGCAGACAGTAAGCCTCTCCCACGATACCCCAACCTTGACACTGGATCCCTCAAAGCTTCAGTGGTCAGTACCAAATAAGTATCAGTTAAACAGAGTTAGCACCATGCCCTATGGTACCACATGCTGACCCTTGCACCATTCTGGCCTGAGAGGCATTAACAAAACTGTACCTTCTTCTCTTTCTCTAAAATCATTTGATCCTTTTGATGCAGCATCTTCTTCAGAGTGGCCACTTCTTCCTTCAGTTGGGCGATGATGACAAAGTGGTCAGTGCCTGGTGAGTCCAGGGCCAGGTCTGGGGAAAAGCTGAGTAGAAAAATGGAGAAGGAAAAATCATAACTTGGAGGGGTAAACCTTTTTTCACTTGAGGACACACCATGGACCACTTGACTACAAGCTCCAGAGTAGGAGCAACTATTTGAATTCCCAGCAGAAGTACAATGCTCCACACACACCACACTCAATAGCATTTGCTAAACTGCACAGGCGAGGCGATCATCAGATCTTGGTTCTTTATGTTCTGCTCCAAAGCACCATGTATGGCGCAGCTGTTAAGAAGCTGCTGCATCCCATTCCAGGAGCAGTCAGTCCCTTTTAAAAATTAGAAAAAGATGAAATTAATAGGAAGGAAGCCAACTTCCCCTACACTGCAACTGGACTGTTGACTACCACTTCCAATATCAAGAATCCAGTGATAATCAGGAAAGAAACAGGTGATAAAATCCAGAGTCACACCATAACCTGGGGTTTCAACAGATTCTTCTCAGTAACACTACCTGAGCACTTCATTTTGTTAAAGTGCCAGGTGAACTCTGTCTTTTTCGGAGAGTTTTGTAACCAGGCCTAGTTCCAGGGAATCTGTGAACGCCTGAAGTTGCATATAGAATTCGGTGTATACATACAATGGATGGTTTCTAGAGTGAGGATCCACAGCGTTCCCTGGTTGGTCAGAGATGTCTTAGGCCCAAAACAAGTTAAGGAATCACTGCCATACGAGTCAAGTCCTGCCCTTCTCTAGAGACTGCCCAAAGAAACCTCCTTACCCTTCCCAGGGCAACCTTTAAAGTAAAACACAAACCTGTTTTTCCTAAGCAGTCAGTGGAATATTGATTCGCAACTCCCTAGATCAATACAGCAATGACTCTAGTTCATCTTGAACTACAGCTAATAACCAGCATTTCTCTACATGGGTAGAAACTCCAAATAGCAAGTGGAATCACTGAACATCCTCAGTTACCAAGTCAAACATTTCTATGGCTAGAAGACATGGTTGACTGCTAAGAATATTCTCTCTTGGTCTACATGAGGCATGTAAGAACATCAGAAGAAGAATGAACCGGTGCTTTCTTAACTGATGAATATGCAGAATTACTGGGTGACGAAAAGTAAAAGCAATATAATAAAACAAGGTAAGCAGGAGAAAATGCTGAAAGGACCCATCAAAGTCTCCTCTACCAGTTTCAATACCTGCCAAGGGACTGTCTTCCCTCAATCCAAAAGATTTTCTTTAAACCCATAACTAGAGTGACAAATGAAACAGTGTAATGGGCTAGTATAAATCTTGTGCTCCTGAAAGCTTCTAATGCTCTGCCCACCTGCTTCTCAAGAGAGGATTTTTCCCATACCACTATTGTTGACAAAACCAGTCATGTCTGTCCTGTTAGGGCCTGACCTTTCTAACTCTCTAACTTCTGACTAATAAGAACTGTTGGAAATCAAATGAAAACAGATGGCTAGGTTAGCAAGGCAGAAAATCAGATCCAGTCTCTCTCCAAGCATCTCCAACAAAAGGGTGAGGCCACACAAAGTAAGTCTAATTTTTCAGGCATATTTCAAATGGAGAATAAAATAAAACTAGGGTTTTATGAGGAGGGGCACTTGGCTGGCTCAGTTCACGGAGCATGTGACCCTTGTTCTCGGGGTGGTAGGCTTGAGCCCCACATTGGGTGTAGAGATTACTTAAAGACTCTTAAAACAAAAAAACTACAAAGAAAGGAAAGGAATATCCTTTAGAAACAATCAACAGGTATGCCTTATCACCAATGGAACAACAAACAAATAGATCAAAAAGTAGCTGGTACGTTTTCTCAGGGAAGGAAAGCTAGAAATGAACTCAGATCTTTCTCAAAGTGAAAAGTTCTTGCTATGGAGCACCCGGGTGACTCAGCCAGTTAAGCATCCAACTCTCGAACCCGGCTCAGGTCAAGATCTTACAGTTCGAGGGGCACCTGGGTGTCTCGGTCGGTTAAGCATATGACTTCGATTCAGGTCACGATCTCATGGTTCTTGGGTTCGAGCCCCACGTCGGGCTCTGTGTCTACAACTGAGAGCCTGGAGTCCGCTTCATCTGTGTCTCCCTCTCTCTCTGCCCTTCCCCTGCTCGTTCTCTGCCTCTGTCTCTCAAAAATAAACATTAAAAAAAAAAATCTTACACTTCGTGAGAGAGAGCCCTATGTCAGGCTCTGCACTGACAGCATGGAGCCTGCTTGGGATTGTCTCTCTCTCTCTCTCTCTCTCTCTCTCTCTCTCTCTCTCTCTGCCTCTCTTGCACATGTGCACTCTTTCTCTCTCTCAAAATACATAAACTTAAAATAAAAGTTTTTGCTACGATTTCAGCAAACTAGAAAATATGAGAGGGAGGCTATGAATTTTGCGGGATACTAAAAAAAAAATGACCAAGGCATTTAAAATTTTTTTTTCAGTTTATATATTTATTTTGAGAGAAAGAGAGAGAAAGCATGCACCCGCACGTGCATGTGCGCACACAAGCTGGGGAGGGGCAGACCGGCAGGCAGAGAGAGAGAATCCCAAGCAGACTCCATACTGTCAGCACAGAGCCTGATGTGGGCCTCAAACCCATGAACTGTGAGATCATGATCTGAGCCAAAGTCGGCCGCTTAACCAACTGAGCCACCCAGGCGCCCCCAGAGGCATTGTAGAAGTATAAAACTATTCGAGAAAAGGTTTTATAAAAAAACCTAAAGTGATGCATTCTCGCAGTACAATATGGAAGACTAATGGAGAAAGAAAGAGGGGAAAAAAATCAAATATGTCTCAATATTTAAAAATAGGAGTGGAGGGGCGCCTGGGTGGCTCAGTTGGTTAAGTGTCCGACTTCGGCTCAGGTCATGATCTTGCAGTTTTGTAGGTTTGAACCCCACGTTGGGCTCTATGCTGACAGCTCAGAGTCTGGAGTCTGCTTCAGATTCTGTGTCTCCCTCTCTCTCTGCCCGTTCCCTGCTCATGCTCTGTCTCTCTCTCTCTCAAATAAATAAACATTAAAAAATAATAAGAGTGGAGAATGGTAGAATAGAAAGGAGAATGGAAAGCTGTTAGAGAGCAGCTTGCAGAAAAGGGGATAACAATGAAAGGACAAGAGCCTATATGGATATTTTCAAAGTGGGGCCAGGAAAGTGGACTACGATCAACTGAAAGCTAAGAGGCGGCTACAATAGATAGTTCAGAAACAAGACCGGTAACCTTTGGTACAGAACTGAATTCAAGATAGATATTCAGTAAAAAAAAAAAAAAAATGGGGGTTTGCATAACATTACAAAAGGACCATCAAAAAACAGCTTGTCAGAATGTTTTCAAAGTGAGGGAAAAGAAAGAAAAAACTACACAAAAGTAAAAACAAAGGAAAAATGTCACTTAACTTTTGCTATGAACTTTTAAAAGGAATGCAAACAAGTGGAATTGGGAAGTTAAGACTGCTAATGCAGGAACATTCAAATGGAACTTGTATGTTTATGAAAAAAACTTTTGTAGAAGCAGAAAAGTTTTCCAAATTTTCAAGTTATCAGGTCAAGTTATTTTAACAAATTAGCATCTACATTTCAAGAAAAAAATGATCTTTTAGATCTTTTCCAGATGAGATTGTTAAAGACCATGGTAAGGATCAGTATTTCCTACTTGAGGAAAACATCATTGCTGGTGATTAGAAGTGATAAAACACTCTCAACAGGGGCACCTGGGTGGTTCAATTGGGTAAGCATTTGGCTCTTGATTCTGGCCCAGGTCATGATCTCCCAGTCATGGGACTGAGCCTTACATCAGGCTCTGCACCGACAGTGAGGAGCCTGCTTGGGATTCTCTCTCTCCCTCTCTCTCTGCTCCTCCCCCACTCATCCTCTCTCTCTCTCCCAAAATAAACATTTTTAAAATATCACTCTGAACAGAAAACTTAAGTTTTTAGCTTTGTATATCCATAGCAATGGACAGCAAGAATAATGGCAGTATCTTAAGAACAAATAATCTAAAAGAAGGTAAGCTTTAAGGACTGGCTGGTTAAACTAAAGTTAAGAATGCACTTTTTCCAGGTCATTCAAATACAGCCTGGGTCATAAGTGAGCACAAAACAGAAATGATGAATCTAAAGGCTGTGGGTCTTGGCTTAGACCTTTATTTTATTTATTTATTTATTTAAAGTTTATTTAGTTTTGACAGAGAGAGACAGAACATGAGTGGGGGAGGGGCAGAGAGAGGGAGACACAGAATCTGAAGCAGGCTCCAGGTTCCGAGCTGTCAGCACAGAGGCCAATGCGGGGCTCGAACTCACGGACCATGAGGTCATGACCTAAGCTGAAGTCGGAAGCCCAACTGACTGAGCCACCCAGGCACCTCTTGGCTTAGACCTTTATAAAGGCAGGGAATTCAGAAAGGTTCACTCCTTGACATGGTTTTTGTAGGATCAGGCATGCTGGCAGGGGTGATGGGACAATCTTCATGATGGTCAGGATATCTGCTCAAGTAACAGTGAAGCTGATGGTCTTTATGGTTCCTTTCTCCATATACTTTGAACATCCAAGTTAAACATTTCCAGAAGGTTCCATTTAACAAGTATAAAATCAATGATACTAGTGGATAAAAAGGTACCTTGTAGAATCTGAAATCAACTTAATAAAAAAGGTAACAGTAAAGAATAAACTTCATAGATGCTTTGTGTACCCCTAGATGAAATTTGGTCCTGGCAAGCCTATGTGCTAAGTCTACTCCCATTCCCACCACCTGCTGGGAGGGAGAACTGACACTGGGAGTTTTCAGAATGGAGAGGATTTCAAGGCTTTGGAGGAAGAGTGTGCCAGTGTCTCACTGCAGGATGCCTGGGCCTGGAGAAACAGGAAAATGGTTGGCCCCAAGACTCAGCTGGGAAGCAGCCCACTGTACCAACACAGACGGGACACTCTGGATATTAGGACAGAGCAGCTTGCAAGAGGAAGCATCATTCAGATGGAGAGAGGAAGGCAAGGAGTAAATATATGCTTTTAAGACAGGCTTAAAATGCAGTAAAAATATTCAAATGCATCTCATTCTCTGCTGATTCAGTAGCTGCCCTGAGCTTTCTGCATGCTAAGGAAGCATGAATTAGACTAAGAACACTGCCTTAACTCCCAACTTGTCTCTGCTCCACCTCTCAATACCAACTCTGGCCCTGCATGGAGGAGGCCACAGGCACAGAACATAATGAAAAGCATATAGCTCCTGACTTCTTAGAATTAGCGTGGGAGAGTTATATGTTGATCGCAGAATTCAGTTGCTATTAAATCGTTATATGTGCTTGTCTTTTAATGACAAGATTAGAGTTATAAACAAATAGCAGCACTGCTTGCTTATTCATAAGATATCAAGTGGCTAATGGAGTGACCCTCGGAGGCTCAATAACAACCCTAGACTAGGTCCAAGGCACACCCTGGAATGTATTCCTGTTTCAGGAACTGTATATACAGTAACTCAAATGGAAGCATGCACACATACCAATTGGCTTACCTGTCTCCGTTGGTTGTGATTGATTCAAACTTGGATTTTTTCTTTGGGATTTCATTTTGAATTGAAGATGTAGAAAGTGTTTTCTGGCTTTTAATGGCAAAAACAGAGAAACACAAATTAGAAATCAAAGATTTATAAAACATCACAACAAAAGTTTGTTCAAACAGGACCAATGTAATATCACAGCTCCTCCATGAAAGAGCTAATTATTCTTGAGTATTAAAATCCACTGAGGTGTTGATTTCATAGGTCCTGGATGCATGGGTAGCTCACTTCCAGAGACCTCCAAAATTCCTACCTTTAATTAAATATTATCTGCTTTATTAACAACTATGGGAACAGAGTCAATAAAATTTTAATGAGACGTCGGGTGCCTGGGTGGCTCAGTCGGTTAAGTGTCAGACTTCAGCTCGGGTCATGATCTCATGGTTTGTGAGTTCGAGCCCCGCATCGGGCTCTTCTGTGCTGACGGCTCAGAGCCTGGAGCCTGCTTCAGATTCTGTGTCTCCCTCTCTCTCTCCCCCTCCTCTGCTCATGCTCTGTCTCTTGAAAATAAATAAATGTTAAAAAAAATGTTTTTTAAATTTTTAATAAGAAGTAAAACCTACCCTACAGTTTAAGAAAGTACTTTCACATTTAATGTTTCATGCACATCTTCCAAGTCTGTGAGGTATATACAAGGCACTATTTCTACTCTGCAGAAACTGAGGCTCATCAAGTTTAAGTGACCTTCCCAAGGATATATAGCTAGTCAATAGTGAAGTGAGCACTAGATACCAGGTTGAACCCCTAATCCAGTTCTTCTTCAGGATAGTTCTGTGAATCTACTGATATCTGAGTCCCACAAACCACTAAAAATCAGTTATAGACTCAATGAGTTCACCCTTGAGTAAGACCCTTTCTTTCTTGATCTCTTTTCAATATTTGATACCACTGACCATGCCATCCTTAACCCCCCTTCCAACTTTACTGAGAAATAACTGACAAATTGTATACATGTAAAGTGTACAACATAACATTTTGATAAACGTGTATGTTATGGAATAATCACCAAGATTAAGATAATTACCACATCCATCACCTCACATAACTTTTTTTTTTATGGCAAGAATGCTTACAATCTACTCTCAGCAATTTTTTTTTAATGTTTTTATTTATTTTTGAGACAGAGACAGAGCATGAGCGGGGGGGCACAGAGAGAGAGGGAGACACAGAATCCGAAGCAGGCTCCAGGCTCCGAGCTGTCAGCACAGAGCCCGACACGGGGCTCGAACTCACGAACCGTGAGATCATGACCTGAGCTGAAGTCGGATGCTTAACCGACTGAGTCACCCAGGCGCCCCAGCAATTTTCAAGTATATAGTATCATATTAAGAATAGCCACTCTGCTGTATATCAGATCCTTAGAACCTACTCTTCTTATAACTTAAAGTTTATACCCCTTGACCTAAATCTCCCCATTTCCTCCTTCCCCAGCCCCTGGCGACCATCATTCTAGTCTCTGTTTCTATGAAATTGGCTTTTTAAAAAGATTCCTTGTAAAAGTGATACCACAAACTGTATGTGTATATGTGTGTGTGTGTGTGTGTGTGTCACATTTTCTTTATCCGTTCATTCATTATAGGGCATTTATATTGTTTCCATATCTTGGCTATTATGAATAAAGCTGCAATGAACCTGGGGGTGCAGATAGCTCTTCAAGATACTGATTTCATTTTCTTGGGATATATATACTCATAAATGATTGCTAGATCAAATATATAGTAGCTGTTTTTAATTTTTTGAGGAACCACCATCCAGTTTTCCACAATGGTTGCACCAATTTACCTTCCCACTAATGGTGTATAGGGTTCCCTTTTCTCCACAACCTTGCCAACATTTGTTATCTTTTGTCTGTCTGTCTGTCTGCCTGCCTTCCTTTCACAATCTCTGCACCCAAAGTGGGGCTCCAATTCACAACCCTGAGATCAAGAATCTCATGCTCCACCAACTGAGCCAGCTGGGCACCTCTCTTAACTTTTTGATAACAGCCATCCTAACAGATGTGGGGTAATATTTCATTGTGGTTTTGGTTTGCATCTCCCTGATGATTAGCAATGTTTAGCACCTCTGTATGTATCTATTGTATATATTCTTTGGAAAAATGTCTATTCGGGTCCTTTGCCCATTTTTTGCGCTTTTTTTGTTATTCAGTTGTATGAATTCTTCATATATTTTTGATATTAACCGCTTATTAGGTATATGGTTTGCAAACATTCACTCCATCCTTCTTGAGTGCTTCTAGAATTCTGTTCTCAGCCTCCAACTTGAATTCTATCATCAAAGAGCATGGTTTAAACAACTACTTATCATATGGGCTGGAGATGGTGTTCCCCAGATCACCTGTACCATAATCATCCAGGATGTTTGTAAAACAATGCAGATTCATGGACTCTATCCTAGGTCCTACTGAATTAAACTCTGGGATGAAGTTGCAGGAATCTGTACTTTATAATAACTTCTATTCCTACTGACTCTTATGTGTTCCAAACCTTTCTTCTGAGTTTTAGGCTAAAGCTCCCACAAAATTGTTCTTGATGCTCCAACCTCAACTTTAAAAAAAACAACAACAACTGAACTTCTCTTTTCTTCCTGTATTCTCTTTCAGTTAAAGAATATACCTATTCACCCAAGTAAGAAACCTGAGAATGATTCTTTACTTACCCAACTCCTGCCCATCTACCTGTTCATTAAATTATCTAAGTTTCTCATAATTCTCCCTCTAAAGTATCTTCCTGAATCTGCCTCTTTTTTTATTTTTATTTTTGAGAGAGAGAGTATGAGCAGGGAAGGGGGCAGGCAGAGAGGAAGACACAGAATCTGAAGCAGGCTCCAGGCTTCTGAGCTGTCAGCACAGAGCCCGACGTGGGGCTCAAACTCATGGACCAGGAGATCATGACCTGAGCCGAAATCAGATGCTTAACCAACTAAGCCACCCAGGCACCCCATGAATCTGCCTCTTTGATCTCTGGTGCCATGGCCTCAGTTGAGATTCTAATATTAATACCTCTTACTGTGGACTCTTACAAAACAGGTTCTTAACTAGCCTCCGGTCTCTTTTTTTTCCAATGTTTTCTCCACAATAATCAGGGTCAGGTTCATGCTCCTTAACGTTTTCAGAATCCCTTTCACTCCCATTCCCTGGCTCCCAAACATAAGCTCCAGAAACATAAAAGGACCTGCAACTCCTCAGGGCCGTGTGGTCTTACGCCCTCCATTTCTCTGCACACACTATTCCCTCAGCCTAGGATGCTTCTGCCCATCCGTGATCTGATGATTCCAACTCATCCTAAAATCCAGCCCCAACCCAGCTCTTCTCTGAGCCTCTCTTGCCTGACTCCCCAAGGCAGTTAATTACTACTGCCTCTCATGCCTGCATCTTGATGTTTCCACTGTGGTGCTCATCGAATTATAATGCAATGATTTGATTACAGGTCTGTCTTCCCTACCAGACTGCATACTCTTGGTGAGCAGCATGATTCTTTTATTCATCTCTGCCTTCCTAGCAGAGTCACTGGCCCATGAGAGTACTTAATAATAATGAACAAACAAAATCATAATGGTAACAACAACAAACAGTAATTAAAATATATTGAATGCTTCCTATAAGCCAGTTATAAAGCAAACAACTATTCATGCACTATATAATTTATCTCCACAATTCCATGAGGTAATATTATTATTTCCCTATTTTAAAGATGAACAAGCTTGCCCAAGATCCCACACAGAGAACCTGGCAGAGTCAGGATTCAATCAAAAGCCAGAACTCTTAACAACATTACAGGTACTCTGAAAGGAAGCTTAAGACAACAATGAAAGGACATCTTTTTGACTGGATTCCCATCAGAACAAACCTAGAACAGCTACCAACCTCCTGGCCAACTATGCATTATAAAAGCTGCATCCCTCAGAAAGTGACATGCCCAGTCTTCTAAGGAGATAATCCACTCCAAGGGTGAGGGGAGCATTATAGTCAAAGCAGAACAATTTCACAAACTTTCCAGACACAAGACAAACCAAGTCAGTAAATCCTAATACCTTATGGAAATCTCTCTGGCACTTGGAAGATACATGAACTGTCCAATGTGACAAAGGAGATTCCTCCTAAGGCTAGTAACTAGAGAGAAAAGAAGAGGAAAATTGATACCAAATGGTTTCTTCCATGGCTAATTGTGTATTCCGTCTGACCAACAGGTACCTCTAGTCCTATCTCATGCACCTTGGGGATACCTGTTATAATGGCTGCCACCACTCAGTCGACTATACTGCTCCTTCTCTTGGTGGCTGGCACGGGAAGAGCTGCTCAGGTGTTTCCTCTGCTCTTTGGTCTTCTGAAGGACCCGTTTGTAGGACAGTGTGCACAGCCAGCACAGCAATTTCCCATCTACCTGAAAGACAAGGAGACAAACATGAAGAAGAGAGAATGTAGTACAGAACGGAGCTCCTGGGAGCTCCGGACCTCTGGGTTAAGTCCCAATTCTGCCACTTAGGAGGTGTGTGAACTTAGGCAAGTCCTCAACCTCAATTAAATCCCCCTATGTCCTTGTGAAGCAGCTACTGTGATTCCCACTGGAAAGGTGATGACATTGATGCCTAATAAGAGTAAGTAACTCGTCCAGGACCATTCAGCTAGCCCAGGTCAGTAGGACTGCAGAGCTTATACTCCGACTATCATCATATGCTACCTCGTGATTCCTAATTCAGCTTCTCCAGTATCTTAATTCAGGGAAAAGGTGCTCTGGTTGGCAGACAGGAGTATTCTGGTCACTGGAGAGTTAATATCCTCCCATGATAAATTAATGAATTTGGTTTACAGGAGTCAGTTCTCATGAGCGTAAGCATCTCCGAAAAGTACCTCTGGACACTGAAAAAGTTTCTGTACTGCATTCCTTCATTAAAAAAAATATTTACTGAAGAGATTGCTAGTTGCCAGAGGTGGGGAGGGGTGGGTAGGTGAAATGGGTGAAAGTAGTCAAAAGGTATAAACTTCTAGTTAAAGGATAAATAAATCATGGGGATGTAATGTACAGTATGGTGACTATAGTTAGTAATACTATATTGCATATTTGAAAGTTGCTAAGAGAGTAGATCTTAAAAGTTCTCATCACAAGAAAAAAAATCCCATAACTGTGTATGGTGACAGATATTTACTGGACTTATTGTGGTGATCACTTTCCAATATATACAAATATCAAATCATTATGCTGTACATTTGAAACTGATATATGTTGATTATACCTCAATTTAAAAAATAAATAATCACTTCACTTTTTTAAATTAATTAATTATTTATTTTAGAAAGAGAGAGAATATGAGCGAGACGCAGAGAGAGAGGAAGAAAGAGTATCCTACAAGGGGCAGAGAGAGAGAGCAAGAGAGAGAGAATTCCACGCAGGCTCCACACTGTCAGTGCAGAGCCCAAAGCGGGGCTCGAGCCCACCCGACATAGGACTTGAACTCATGAACAATGAGATCATGAGATCATGACCTGAGCCGAAGTCAGATGTTTAACCGACTGAGTAACCTAGGTGCCCCACTTCACTTACTTTTTAAAAAGTAGAAAATGAGAAGCACAATTTTTCTCAGTAAAAAACAGTAAGCTGGAGATATATTTCAGATTAATATTTTGACAGTGTTAGGTAAGATGACTAAAAGAGGGGGAAGAAATAGTTCTCGATAAAATATGACTCTTATCAAAACAAGTAAATATATATATATATACATATATATGTATGTGTGTGTGTGTTGCGTGTATCTGTGTGTGTGTGTATGTATATATGTATGTTTGTTTGTTTTGGGCACTTACTATGTGCCAGGCCACTGGAAATGTGGCAGAGAACAAGATGGACAAGGAGCTCATGTCCTAGTGAAGGTAGACAAACATAAGCAAATAAACAAGATAATTTCTCACAATGTTATGCTGTGAAGACAACAAAACAGGGTAATATGATAGGGGGTGAGTGAGTTATTAAAGGGGCTCTATGAGGAAGTAGCATCTGAGCATGAGGAACCAATTAAGACTGATGGGTGTTATCAGGCAAAATGATAGCCAGTGCAAAGGTAGGAATGAAACTGGCACATTTGAAGGGCTAAAAGGTGGTCAGTGTGGCTGAAACAAGGTGACAGGCGGGAGGCGTTAACGTCAGGAGAGACTGAGAGGCAGGTATGGGCAATGTACATCAGGGAAGGGGGTTGGGATTTGTTCTAAGTGCAGCTGGAAGCCACTGGAGGGTTTTAAACAGAACAAATCTAAACCATTTTTAGTTTACTAAGGTACCATCACTCCACCCAGAGCTCTCCTCTATGTCATCTTGGAATTTTTAACTTCAACAGATAGAAACACTTGAAACAGTCAGATAGTGAAACTGGTAATACAAGTGTATCCTAAGTCACAATCTCTCCTTTACAGAGTTCTAAGAATTTTGCCAATCATTGCTTTACTTATACAGGGTACAGATCACTGTTAATTA